TTCCAAAACAAGCATAGTTTAGCTAAAGCAAACAACAAACACTTAGAGGCAATCCAGTAAGCAGCAACAAACTGACATACCCAACTTCATCTTTTAGATAAGCTTTTTAAATGCGCTTCTAACCATTGATTGTTCTTGTTCCTTTTTATACTTAATGGACTCACCCTAATTATGATATATGGCGGGACATGTTATCATCAGCAATGTATGATCTGTTACCACACGGATGGAGTTGTTGCTTGTAACCCAATCTAGAATTCATTAGAAAATTTTTGGGTAGCTTGAGAAATTAGGTTTTGGATGTGGAAGATTAAAGGATATTTTGGTATTTTTTATATTTAAGATAAAATTGTAATTAATTTTATTTTCATTAAGTGTGTGGAGATGAGAGAATTTTCTGTTTGGAAATAGATTTTTCCATATCTTTAGGCAACCAGAATTTAAGGGTAAATTCACTTATTACCCCTTGAGGTTTGGATTTATACGATATCACCCCTGACGTTTGAAAAAATTATCTAACTCGCTTGTTGCATTTAATTTTTAAACGAATTAAGACAATTGAACTCAATACACCTCTCTTTTTTTTGCTTTGTTTTACTTCCTCTGGTTTTTCTTTCCCTTTCCTTTGCTTATATTTTTTTTTTCAATGTAATTTCTTCATATTTACTAAGAGTTATTGTTTTATATTGTAGGGTTTGGTGAAAATGTGATTATTAAACACAGGAGATAAGAATAATATTCCATATCGTCAGGCTGAATTATATAATTGAATCAAATCTTCAGGATGTACAGTATAAATTTCGCAAATTTAAATTTAGATTTATGGACCAAGTGCCAAAAAACAAAAGTTTTAACGAATTTAAATTGTCAGCTTGCCTTCTGCAGGTTGAATGGGGTGTTTTGATTTAATGAGACTCACCACGAATTTTATCTCATAATAATCTGAACTGATCAATTTTTTATATCACAATGTGTGTGTCAATTCAACCACACTGCCATCGAAGTACTCAGTGGAGAACACTGGCGAGAATAAACTAAGCCCAAGCGAGCGACCTGCAACGAAAGAGGATTCCCGACGGTGGTATCCATCCAGGGCACCCGAACGATCAAGTCCAGTCGGCTCATCCACCCGGGGCAACTCCGACGATCAGTCAGTTATCTCTCAAAAGATATCAGAAGTGCTCAACTCACTATTCAAATACAAAATTGCATACCCTTAGACCCATTGGGGTGTCTCTCTCTTTATAGCCAACTCGAATCCTAGTCCAATAGAAAGCCTCAGCTCTAATGGATTTAGATTACTGCTAAATCTGGACTCCCAGAGTAAGAATTAGGATAAACTCTTTGAGGTATGTATCTTTACCTAAACTTGAGTCTATTTCTCCCATTCTATGACACTTGTCTTTATACCGCTTATCTCGGATTCTGGTATCGCCGCAGAATACCTCAGCAGTGCCCAAAATATTCGGCAAACATGATCTGCCCACATAGTACCTTTGGATAACAACTCGGCCATATGATACTCAAAAATATGGTCCCCACCACAATGTGTAGTTAATCCTATGAAAAAAAATCAAAATCGTTCAAATAACAATTGTCTATGTTTCAAAAAATAATATTTATTATTTGTATTATTATTTTTAAATAAATGTTATAACTAACAATGTCTATAAGTTAACAAATAAATCTAATTTATTTTCATAAATAAATTTACATATTGTGAATATAAAAAAAATCTAATATTCATATACAAAACAAAAAACTATGTAAATCTCATGAGCCAAACAACACGATTTAACAAGCTTGGCCCTTTCGAAATTTACACAAGCCTAATCCATAAATTCGAAATTTTACTCTCATGAGAATTTTATTTTAATTTTATATTATGTTTGTAAACTATCTCCCTCTTTTCGTTCCGTAAGCGTGTGCGGGGTGTGATTCAGTTTGTAACGGTCGAATTTCGTCATCTAAAACTGGTGATAAAGCTGTGCTGGGCGAGCACGTGCACATACACGTGCCTCTCTCTTCAACAGCACAACAAACTTACGCGCGAGATTAGTCGCATCTCTCTCTCTCTCTAGACTATTATATATGTAATTTATTATATATAAGAGCACATAATTGATAATTTAGCCCCGTTGGGAAGTGGGTGGGCTTTTTGCTTTTTGGACTTTTTTGGCTATTTAATCCGGGCTTAAAAGCTTGGTTTGGGAAGAGTTTTTTTGACTTTTTGCTTTTCTTGAGTTTTTTTTGTGAGAGAAGAATGTAATGATTATGGTTGGATTGATGTTTTGTTTGTTTATGGCTAAATAGCCTATTTTATTTTTTTGTGGCTAAAAATAGCTCAAAAAAAACCTGCAAACCACATGCAACACAGGCTTAATAATGTGATATTTTTCTCTGTCAGTAAATCAATTTTTTTTCTTAAAATAAAAAATATTTTACTCAAGATGTGAGTAAAATTTAAACTAAGAATTTAAATTTTATTAGACAATCTTAACTATTTAAACAAGATATACATAATGTGATGTATATTATTCAAGATGTGAGTAAAATTTAAACTAAGAATTTTAATTTTATTAAGAACAATCTTACTATTTTAAACAAAGTATATCATTATGTGATGGCACGTGTCTATGCCTTTTTTATTTGAAATTAAAAAAAAATTAGATAAATAAGATGAGGAATTAAAATTTAGACTTATATCAAGGATATAACACCTCTTACCACTTTTAACTAACACACACTATAATAATAAATATTTTATTTTTATTTATTTAAATTGTACACGCATCGTGTAACCACCGCTAGTACATATATAAACATTTTGTTTTGAAGGGACAATGTGTGAAAATAACCCAGAATTTGAATTCCATTCACTATGCCTCAATTCTTACTTTTCTGAGTACCATTAGCTCTCCAAGGTTAGCCTTTTCTTTTGATGCCCTGCTTCGCATTCGATTCTCATCCTTTCCTCTCTACTTATTTCTCTTCAAATCCAAGTTTTTCAGGCTTTTCACTTTGTGGGTTTTCGTCTGCATGTTACTTATTACTCGTACGTTTGGTTTCCTAGAAAATGTGGGAAAACAAGGGAGAGCCAATTCGCGGAACTTGGGTTTGTTTTTGTTTTAGAATCCCGGAAAATGAATTTTCCGTCAATCAACTGACCCTAACAAAAGTATTTGGCTTATTTGATTTTGGATACCAAGAATAGAAAACTTGAAATTAAAATAAACTTTCGTGTGTTTTTCTTTTCCTCAGTATTCTAGGAACACAACTTAGTGGAAGTGAAATTTGCCAAGGGAAGGCATTAACCTTTGCTTAGGGTTCATTTGAGAATTGGCCTTTTTAGAATTTTTTTTGGCTTTTAGAGAGAAAGAATTGACCTTTTGTATTGACTTGTTGGCTAAAATGTTTACTTCCCGCATATAGCTCGGTGGTGATGAGGGTTCGAACTTCTTCACGTTTGCCTGGTTCATTGACTTAGGGGTTAGATAGCCATCATATTTCATGAGCAAATTTCACTTTTACCCCCATTGGTATAGGTTATGGGCACATAACCTTTTGGTAGTTTGAAATAACCACTTAACACCTGTCATTTACCGTCACGTTTTTCATCTAAATTAACAAGAAAAAGAAGAACCTCAAGGGTTGGCTTAGTGGGCAAAACTTGGGGCCTGGGGACATGGTCTAGGTTCAATACCCACTAACAACAAAAAGCTCCTTGGGGCTTTTGCCCTGACTTTAAATGGGGCCCTCGTAAGTGGGCAATGGGATTGGTCCTCAGGATTAATTGAGGTGCACGGAAGCCAATCTAGACACTCGGTTATCGAAAAAAAAGAAGAGAGAAAAAAGATGAGGGTGTTTTAGTCAATTTATAAGTACTATCAATGGAAGTATTAAGTGATTATTTCCAAATGGAAGGGTTTACGTGCACATGGCATATACCACTAACGTAAAGTGAAATTTGCCCTATTTCTATATCCTTTGCAAATTATAGTGTTTCATTGCTTTTATAAGGTTAACTAGTAGTATCTTTGTCAAAATGATTATTGCATAGTTAGACTATCTAATATGTTTACTTGTTCTTCATTCATTATGGTTCATTTTTTTTTCACAGACGATCGGTCCTTTTTTGAAAGATGGTTGCCTTTGGTAAAAAGCTGAAGGAAACACAAATTCAAGAATGGCAGAGGTATGCGTGAGTAACATTGTGCACTACTTTGCCATTTAGTCTGTTTAGGTTGATTAGCGTATAGTTATTTTCCATTTTGTGTGTTATGCAATCATGGCAATTTGCATGAGATTCAATGCTGTGGCATACTGCTGTGATTTGATGCATGCTAAACAAGTCATGTTTTAAACTTTGCTTCATTGTATATGTTACAATACTTTTGGTAAACGATGATTACCTCTCTCTACATATCAATTTGTATCAATAGTAAATATTATTTCCATCTCCTTGAATATGCCATGTTAATTTTAATTGTTGATGATTTTCTTCCTGCTCATCATATTGTATTGCTGTAAGTTCTTGCTACCTAATATTTATAGGATCTCGATATTTGTTGTGAGTGATTAAGATGTTGGTTTTGCTATCTTTTTAGTGTCAATAAAAAAATTCCATATTATCTGACTTATTCTCTACGGGTGGAAATATAAATCTTGCTAACTTAAATAATGGCAATATTTTCTTTCTTTGCTAAATTTTACTTAATAAAGAGCACTCATTTTTTCTTTTTTCTTTGTTTTTTTTTTTATGGCAGCCATCAATCTTATCTTTTAGATAACAAATCATAGTGAAGTAATTGGTTTTGTTAGAATAAATGTATAAAAATAAATAGAGAATTGTATTATTGAATAATGTATGCTTGTTGTATATCCTGTATTACAAATGAGGGGTTCCTTATATAGATGTAGGTGTAGGGAGTAGGTGGTGGTAGGTGAGTGTAGTAGGTGAGTGTGTGGTAGGTGATGGTAAGTGTGTGGTAGGTGATGGTAAATTATACAATGTACATTAACAGCCCCCCTCAAACGCAAGGAGGATAGGTACTAGCCAACTTGAGTTTGGAGAGAGTAACAAAACAGAAAAAAAATAAACTGATAAATAAAATTAAAAATGGGATAGGAGACACTGTATGGTTGTGTCAGACCGTTGTAGCAGACAGTTTACGGGGTCATGTCGGACCGATGTAGCAGACACTGTGTGGTCGTGTCAGACCGATGTAGAAAACAGTTTATGGGGTCATGTCGGACCGTTGTAGAATACAGTTTATGGGGTCATGTCGGACCGTTGTAGACCCAACATGTCTTTCAAACCAGGATGTTCAACTGATGTTGCAATCAACGAGGCTGGTGTTCTGAATGGTGGGTTGTGGGCTAACCAGACTCAGAGAATGCGAACGTACACAAAGGTCTGATAGTTCACTTCATCTCTTGAGAATCACTCAAATATAAAGGAAAAGAAATAGAAATAATAGTTTGTGAAGTTTGATTGTATTCTCTTACAATTGCTTGATACCAGTTCAAAATTTATGCAGGTTCAAAAGCGTGGCTCGGTGGGAAGAACTATTGATGTTACCCGTTACAAGGGCTATGATGAGCTCAGGCATGATCTGGCCCGCATGTTTGGGATTGAAGGACAACTAGAAGATTCGCAAAGAACAGAGTGGAAGCTTGTCTATGTAGATCATGAAAATGACATACTACTCGTTGGAGATGATCCTTGGGAGTAAGTGGAGACAGATTGTGCACTCATCTCTATGTTTTCTTTGCCTAGTTTAATTTCTCATGAGTAAAATTTTAAATTGTTTTCAGGGAGTTTGTGAGTTGTGTTCAGAGCATAAAGATACTGTCATCTGCTGAGGTGCAGCAAATGAGTTTGGACGGAGATCTTAGTCACGTGCCGGTTCCCAAACAAGCTTGCAGTGGAACTGACAGTGGGAATGCATGGAGAGGGCACTATGATGATAACATAGCTAACTCTTTCAATAGATAACGAGTTCTAGTTTCAGGAATTCCCTCATTTGATTGGTAAAGAGTTCTGAATTCATAAATATGAATTGAAGACTCACTTCTTATGAGGTGAAATACTGTATAGAGGAATTCTGTCGACAATTGGATCAATCCCCGGGAAATGCTGCAAGATTGTCAAATGAGCTTTGTGGTTGCTTAAAAGGTTTACACAGAATGTGTACAAACCAAAACAGCAGCAAAGCTGATGAGTGTTGAATGGCTTCCTAGTTCGGATGGTAAATTTGGGGGCACTTTTTGACCATGGCAGTAGGGAGGAAGGCTCAGTAATCAGGGGATGCAATGTCGGAATCGGGAGAAGCAGAGTGCCGTGGTGTGATGATGATCTGGTACATAAAAGTAATTCCTAGATTTAGCTTCCACTTATGGGTGGCTTTGATGGAGAGATTCAGCACAAAAGATAGATTCATGGAAATGAGTGTATCCCAATCTAACAAAGTGTGTACTGTGTGAATTGATGTAGCAGAATGATGAATTTTTTTTTTTTTAAATGTTGCTAGACTAAGAATTTTTGAAAGTTTTTCCATTGGCCAAGTTCTGGATGGAAATCTACTTTTAAGTGAGAAGTGAGCTCATTAAAATTTGTATTCTTGTGTTTGAAGAGCTGGAAATTATGCAACGAGCTGAATATAATAGCAATGGAAAAAGGAGAAAGAGAAAGTGGGCTACAGGATGAGGAGAGTGGATGTTAATATATTATAATGGGTAGGTATAGTGCAAGTGTGTGTGTATCTGCGGGTGATAAAGAAAGTGGGATGAATGATGAGAATCATGTGGGGAATATATTCTATATGTTGTGTGGGTGGAGAATAAAGAAAAGAAAAGAAAGGAAAGCATGTGGTTGTGTTCTGAATGGTGGCCTGGGTGGAGAAGAAAGAAAAGAAAAGAAAAGAATAGCTGGCCTTTTGGATTCTGAAATGTTGCCTCAGACCCACATAAAAAAAAAAACCGTGAAATAAGGAGAGACAGAGAGTGAGGGGATATAGTGGAGAGAGAGAGGGGAGTAGAGACAGAAATTCCAAAGCATAACAAAGGGGCTTGAGCTCTGTCTAAACGGCCATCTTTCCAACCCCCCCATTTACACAATTCCAAAACCCTAGAGAGAGAGAGGGGAGTAGAGAGAGAATGGCAACAGCTTCGTTGGGTTCGTCAACTCTTGTCCAGTCCCAGATTAATGGGTTTGGTGGGCTTCAAAAGCAATCTCTCTCTCATCCCAATTCTATCACCTTTACCATGAGAAAGTTTCGAGCTATAGTGAAGGCATCTGCTCGTGTGGACAAATTCTCAAAAAGCGACATCATTGTTTCTCCATCAATTCTCTCTGCAAATTTTGCAAAGTTGGGAGAGCAGGTAAAAGCAGTGGAGCTGGCAGGTTGTGACTGGATTCATGTTGATGTAATGGATGGTCGCTTTGTTCCAAATATAACAATTGGGCCTCTTATTGTTGATGCATTGCCCTGTAGCAGACCTTCCATTGGATGTACATTTGATGATTGTTGAACCAGACCAGCGAGTGCCTGATTTTGTGAAGGCCGGAGCTGACATAGTCAGTGTCCATTGTGAGCAATCTTCCACCATCCATCTGCATCGCACAGTTAATCAAATAAAAAGTCTGGGAGCCAAAGCTGGAGTTGTCTTAAACCCAGCTACCCCACTAACTGCAATAGAATATGTTCTTGATGTGGTTGATCTGGTCTTGATCATGTCGGTGAACTCTGGATTTGGTGGGCAGAGCTTTATTGAGAGCCAAGTTAAGAAAATCTCAGATTTAAGAAAAATGTGTGCAGAGAAGGGGGTGAACCCATGGATCGAAGTAGATGGTACAGTCGGAGAAACGAGAGGCGACGTCATCGAACTTGGATTTGCCGGAGACGATGTCGTCGCGGAGGGATTTGAGCTGAGAGACGGCGGCGTCTCTAGTGGTGTTGGTGATGATCCGACCTTCTGGATCCTTCAGTGGTGTTTGGGTCTCCTCTTTTTAGAGAGAGAGAGGCCGTGTATGTGTATCTCTGTATGATGGGTGTGTCTCGTGAGAGACCCAGCTAGAGAGAGGTGAGAGAGAGCTGTGTGGGTATGTGCTTGGGTGTTGAGGTGGTGAAGTGTTGTTGAAGAATCTGCCATTGAAGAAGAAATTAGGGAATTTTGGGTTTGTCCGGCGGGCGGCCAAGGCGAGATTGCCGCCCGCCGGTGGAACGAAAATTACTAGGTTCTTAACCTAGCTCTGATACCATGTTAGAATAAAATGTATAAAAATAAATAGAGAATTGTATTATTGAATAATGTATGCTTGTGTATTCTGTATTACAAATGAGGGGTTCCTTATATAGATGTAGGTGTAGGGAGTAGGTGGTGGTAGGTGAGTGTAGTAGGTGAGTGTGTGGTAGGTGATGGTAAGTGTGTGGTAGGTGATGGTAAATTATACAATGTACATTAACAGGTTTATTGATTGAGTTGGTGAATGTCTCTTACTATAAATGAATTTTCTACTATATGTCAATCTCCATTTCTTATGCGATATGGTCTCATCTTGTTAACAATCATCCCAATTATGGTAGCAAATATTATTCTTCAATTGTTATCTGCAACTTTTTCAATATGCTTATGATTTGATTTCTTGTAGATACTACATTAACTATAAGCTACTGAAGAAGAAAGTAAACCAATATGCTCGACAAATTGAGGTTGGAGATCAAGATCACTATTATATACTAAAGGACTTCTCGAAAATGCTGGATAAACAGGTATTATGGCTATGCACATATGTTAGAATTTACCATCCACTACACTACACCTCTCCACACCTACCATCTCCACTTTTCGAGCTTAATTGTGAAAAAAATGTCTTTTTCGACTTAGTATTTGTTAGAATTTACCTTACCTACTACACTCCACTACCACCTCCACTTCACCTACTACACTCCACTACCACCTCCACTTCACCTACTACACTCCACTACCACACTCAACATCTCCTATATAATCAGCATGCTTGTAATATCAAAATATACAACAATCTTGTAATCTATCAATCAAACATCAATCAATAATACATCAATTTTTAACAGTATTCAAAGCGGTAGTCTCGTTCTAGTTCCGTAAGTTTTCACAACTTACATTGGTCCCTCCCGAGGTGTCTGAGCTGTTCCCCGGGCCTTCTCGTGACTGTTACACGATTTTGGTCCGTGAAGGCCTATTTTCAAGCTTAAGTGTGAAAAAGTGCATTTTTTCAGTTAGTTTTCAAACCGTGAGTCGCTCACCTCCGTCCTCTTCGCCAAGTCCGGCTTCGCCACTTGCGCCATCTTCTTCTTCCATGCACACAGCATGTTTGCCTGTTTTTTTTTCTTAGGCCTCCTTTTTCTTCGGGGTTTGTGAGCATCAGAGTTGGAACTCAGGTTACTACTCTGACCCGTCCGTGAATCTGAGGATCCCCTGTTTCTGTAGGCAGATTCACTCCTGCTATTTGATGTGTTGATGGATGTGGACATTTCAGCCCTCCGCAAGGGTTGCTTTTTGCTTGATGAACCTCCAAACCTTGATTTAACATGAACTGAATTTGAAAACGAATTGGTTGATGACCGAGGAGGAGGCATTAAAGCTCGGGCAGAGATATGCCTCTGATTCCTTTCATCGCTGGACATGCCAGATGCTGCTTTGCCAGAAGCACTAGAAGCTTGCTCCTTGGTCCTTTGCCAGATGCTGCTTTGCCAGAAGCACTAGAGCTATCTCTCACTTTACTTTTTCCTCACTCTCTCCTTTTTTTATTCTCTTTGTTCCCACTCAGGCCTTGAACTTTGCATTCAAGGATTACTTTAAGAGGTTTTTCAACTTTCACACCCACTATCCTTTTTCTTTCACTCACGTGGGTTGTCTGCATCACTTCCCCACTCAACTTTCTTTTTCTTTTTTTTTTATATTTATTTTAATTCATCTTTTTAAAAAGAAAACGAAACACACGGTTTGCACATTCGTCATCTTACTTTTCCATTAGTGGTAGGATCCGTCCAAACAAATTTAAATCTCACATTTCTTTTTTATTTTTATTTTTCTTACTTCAACTTTATTCACAAACTTCTCTTCAATTTTATTTTCTTTATTTTCTCGCACCAACGCACATGCTTTCCTCCTTAATATATTATTATTATTATTATTATTATTAATCCAAAAAAAAAAAAAAAAAAAAAAAAAAAAAAAAACACTTCTTCACGTTTGCCTGGTTCATTGACTTAGGGGTTAGATAGCCATCATATTTCATGAGCAAATTTCACTTTTACCCCCATTGGTATAGGTTATGGGCACATAACCTTTTGGTAGTTTGAAATAACCACTTAACACCTGTCATTTACCGTCACGTTTTTCATCTAAATTAACAAGAAAAAGAAGAACCTCAAGGGTTGGCTTAGTGGGCAAAACTTGGGGCCTGGGGACATGGTCTAGGTTCAATACCCACTAACAACAAAAAGCTCCTTGGGGCTTTTGCCCTGACTTTAAATGGGGCCCTCGTAAGTGGGCAATGGGATTGGTCCTCAGGATTAATTGAGGTGCACGGAAGCCAATCTAGACACTCGGTTATCGAAAAAAAAGAAGAGAGAAAAAAGATGAGGGTGTTTTAGTCAATTTATAAGTACTATCAATGGAAGTATTAAGTGATTATTTCCAAATGGAAGGGTTTACGTGCACATGGCATATACCACTAACGTAAAGTGAAATTTGCCCTATTTCTATATCCTTTGCAAATTATAGTGTTTCATTGCTTTTATAAGGTTAACTAGTAGTATCTTTGTCAAAATGATTATTGCATAGTTAGACTATCTAATATGTTTACTTGTTCTTCATTCATTATGGTTCATTTTTTTTTCACAGACGATCGGTCCTTTTTTGAAAGATGGTTGCCTTTGGTAAAAAGTTGAAGGAAACACAAATTCAAGAATGGCAGAGGTATGCGTGAGTAACATTGTGCACTACTTTGCCATTTAGTCTGTTTAGGTTGATTAGCTTATAGTTATTTTCCATTTTGTGTGTTATGCAATCATGGCAATTTGCATGAGATTCAATGCTGTGGCATACTGCTGTGATTTGATGCATGCTAAACAAGTCATGTTTTAAACTTTGCTTCATTGTATATGTTACAATACTTTTGGTAAACGATGATTACCTCTCTCTACTTATCAATTTGTATCAATAGTAAATATTATTTCCATCTCCTTGAATATGCCATGTTAATTTTAATTGTTGATGATTTTCTTCCTTCTCATCATATTGTATTGTTGTAAGTTCTTGCTACCTAATATTTATAGGATCTCAATATTTGTTGTGAGTGATTAAGATGTTGGTTTTGCTATCTTTTTAGTGTCAATAAAAAAATTCCATATTGTCTGACTTTTTCTCTACGGGTGGAAATATAAATCTTGCTAACTTAAATAATTGCAATATTTCTTTCTTTGCTAAATTTTACTTAATAAAGAGCACTCATTTTTTCTTTTTTCTTTGTTTTTTTTTGGGTGGCAGCCATCAATCTTATCTTTTAGATAACAAATCATAGTGAAGTAATTGGTTTATTGATTGAGTTGGTGAATATGTCTCTTACTATAAATGAATTTTCTACTATATGTCAATTTCCATTTCTTATGCGATATGGTCTCATCTTGTTAACAATCATCCCAATTATGGTAGCAAATATTTTTCTTCAATTGTTATCTGCAACTTTTTCAATATGCTTATGATTTGATTTCTTCTAGATACTACATTAACTATAAGCTACTGAAGAAGAAAGTAAACCAATATGCTCGACAAATTGAGGTTGGAGATCAAGATCACTATTATATACTAAAGGACTTCTCGAAAATGCTGGATAAACAGGTATTATGGCTATGCACATATATTGTTAATACATATCCACTACACTACACCTCTCCACACCTACCATCTCCACTAGCACCCACTTCACCTACCACCTCCACTACACTACACCTACTACCACCTTCTTTTCTATTTATAGAAGTTGTAATTTGTAATCAAATACATATCAATCAATAACATCAGTTTATTTTTTACAACATATATTGTTAATACATGCATATTTAATGTGAATCTTATTCATGCACAAATGGAGAAGATTCATTAAATTGTGTATGTGTATTCAAATTTATCTTTCACTAAGATATTGTAAACATTCTCTTATAGGTCTACTTAAAAAGTTTAAACTTCAAATTTGATATCAAAAAGTGGAAACATGGTGAAGTTATAAGAAAGTGTAGGACCGTTGATTTACATGGTTTATACATAGAATCATTGTAATTTGTGAAACGTCAGTTGGATGCACTCTATTAATATCAAGATAAGATAGATACCAATTATTTATGTTTGACTGATACTTAAATTGCTGGATCAGAGCTATTTTATAAAATCAAAATGGTTCTTATCTCCAAAAGATTTATGACTCGAGGATGACATCATGAAAACTTTATATTTTGTAATCGCATTCTTCATTATTTCATAATTAGCATTATCATATTCAACTTTCTAAAATTCGATGACACTATGAAAACTAGTTTGTTTCAGTCTTCATTTTTTTATTTTTTTTATTTTTTTTTTGTAATTAACATGGCAAAATATCTTCTTTTTTCTAATTTCTTTTTCTTTTCTTCTTTTTTTTTTCTTTTTTGTATTGGCAGGGTTAAGTTTCTGTCACCTTCTAGTTGACTTAAAGATTATATCTAGAAAGGCATGCAGTTTATTAGTGCAAAATCCCACATTCTTCCTGTCCATACCCTCATCATCAAGATTTTCACCTAGAAATTTTGTTCTTATCAATTGTGCTGTCAATCGATTTTTTTTTTTTTTACATGTTCAGATTGTAGACAGCCAAGATTTTCCCTCCCGTGTCACTTTTCAGGGCTACTCCTATTTTTGTTGAGAGTTATCATCTCTGTTTTTCTTCTTTGTCTTCCTTTTCCTTTTCCTTTTCCTTTTTTTTTTTTTTTTTAATTGCCTTTTAGTGTTTAGTCTCAATGTTCTGCACAATAAAGAATTCAAACATTAGGTCACATTGCTTTACTTTTTTTTTCTTTCTTTCTTTTGCCATGCTTGATTAAGTGTAATGCATTTCCTCTTCAGAATGAAATGCATTTGCCAACTTTTTTCTTTCTTTCTTTTGCCATGCTTGATTAAGTGTAATGCATTTCCTCTTCAGAATGAAATGCATTTGCCAACGTCAGAAGCCAAAAATTCATCTCTGCAGTAGCCAACAAGCTTTTACTCAATAGGAAAGGGATGATTGATCTTTGATGCCAAAAACAGCATTGTATCTCTTAAGATCATCCGTCTTAAGTATCTTTCCACCTCAGCTCCTCATAATTCAAGTTTTATTTCATGCATTAATGAATGGGTTCATAATTGGCCCTGTGTAATGATGAATGGTGTTATTGCAGTCTTTATTTAGCGATTATAAAAATGAGTGTTTTTTTTCGTTCTTTCTTTTTTCTGTGATACAATTTCAGATTGAAAAGATTGTCTTGTTCTTGTGGGAGCAACAAGGGCAACTCGCAAGAAGGTTATCCAATCTTGGGGAACAACATGCAGATGTCTCAAACATATCTGAATTACAAGAAGCGTATAGAGAGGTTGGATGGGATCTTTTGAGGCTTCTCTTTTTCGTAGAAATGAATGCCATTGGTCTCCGTAAGATATTGAAGAAATTCGACAAACGCTTTGGATATAGGTTCACTAATTACTATGTCAAAACTCGTGCAAATCATCCTTATTCTCAACTGAGACAAGTGCTCAGGCACGTGGTAATGCATGCAATTCAGACTCTTATAATTTTTTAAGGGTAGTTTTTGCTCAACTCGATTAAGTCATTGGACCTTTTCTCTTTTTAGATTCCATATTATGTTTTCATTGTTGTTATCTTTTTATTTAAATGAAAGCACTATCAACTACTAACTGAATGACTTAACACGTAGGGTATTGAGGCTGTTGTAGGAACCATATCTCGCAATCTGGCTGATCTTCAAGATCATCAAGGGAGCTGCGTATCAATCTATGATCGGCCTACTCATCCTCTACCAGTTTGTACTAACATCCATTTAAATTCATCCCCATTTTCTTTTATTTACTTCCTATTTTTTTTCCCATCCCATTTTGTTTATATTCCATTAAGTCATCTTGGAATTTGTTTGAATTATGAGCATTTAATAGTGACTTGTCACTTGTGAACAATGTGATGGGAGCAAAAAAAAACCAGTGATCTTTTTTATTCATCCCTTGAGTCTTCTTTTGGATTTTGTGTAGATTTTGGATAGACATTGATAGCTTTTTATGTTTTTGTATATGCCGTCTTTACATGGGATTTGGTGCTTAAACATTGAAGATAATTGGCCTATTGGCTCTCAAAAAAATAAAGCTTTTGCACAAAAAAAATACAGTTTGTGACAGAAATTTAATCTACCAAATAGCTGCCATTTTATGTATATTTTATGCTTCATAGATTTTATGAGTATACTATTAAGCTTTAACTTTATTGTTGTTTGAAGTCCTATATAAACCCTCACTTTTTCATTAATAAACTTACTTTTTTTCTTTTATGTGAAAACTCATGCAAAACCAACTTATTAGAACTTTCAACTCAAGAACATAGTTGTCTTATCATTGTTCTAAATTTATCTTATATTTACTGGATATGATTTAATGGTATTATTTGCAGGACCCTGTCATTGATTCTATAAAAGCAGCAGTTGACCGTCTAACAAACTCGACAAATTTCCTCGAATATCTGGGAAAGCATGCACTTATCGTGCAAGAGGAGTTACCAACTCCAACCAAGGATCATGTTCTTGATGAGAGATATCATTTTATGTCGCTTCTTTTGAACTTAGTCAGCACTTTTTTGTATATGGTCAACACATACATTATTGTCCCAACGGCAGACGACTACTCCATAAGCCTTGGAGCTGCTGCAACCGTTTGCGGTGTTGTGATTGGGGCAATGGCAGTTGCACAGGTGTTTTCTTCAATATACTTCAGTGCGTGGTCAAATAAATCGTACTTCAGACCTCTTGTATTTAGCAGTATTGTTCTTCTTGTGGGGAACACCTTATATGCCTTGGCTTATGATCTTGACTCCATATATGTTCTTCTAATTGGCCGCCTATGTTGTGGGTAGGTGATCATATTCTCATTCTCATTCTCATTCTCCTTCCTTCATTTGTTAAAATATCTGAAAGTTTGTGTATTATTTTACTTAACAAGTCTGCTTAAATCCTATTGTAGACCATTTTGGATTCTTCTTTTTTCTTTTTTTCCTTGAAATTTTTGTATGCTCAAACTCATTGCACAATATCTTACAATGCTTTCGCCACAATAACTATACTAACTTAGTCAACTGATTAGTAAATAATTTATTTTATATTTAGTTACAAATGTTGCCTTAGCATAATTTGAGATCTGAAGAAAAATTCAGTACATTTTCATATTTTGTTGTATTCAATAAATTTTTGAAAGATTTTTGCACAGCTATCGTACTTCTTAAGTGAATCTAAAAACTGAAAAAAATTGATTAAAATGTTAAAAAAAATTCACTGAAAGCAAAAACATACGGTTTGAAAACTCAAAAAACTATTTTTAAAAACTCTAAACCAAACAGAGTGAATATATTCTCTAGGTAAGATTGCATCAAGCTAATATGTTTAGCTCATACCTCATCGGATTAAGTCCTAACTCATTGGAATTTTTGCATTTTATAATGATATATTTTATATGGAAATATTATTCGTGTTCATTGGTTTACATAACAAATCAACAACACTATGTTTATCAATCTTGCAGGTTGGGTTCTGCCAGAGCTGTTAACAGGCGTTATATCAGCGATTGTGTACCTCTTAAAATGCGAATGCAGGCTTCTGCAGGTTTTGTTAGTGCCAGTGCCCTTGGAATGGCATGTGGTCCTGCTCTCGCTTGCGTACTCCAAACTCAATTTAAGCTCTTCAATATTACATTTAACGAAAACACTTTGCCCGGATGGGTTATGGCTCTGGCATGGCTCATCTACCTACTGTGGTTGTGGATTTCATTCAGAGAGCCATCTTCTTATGAGGATGAAGATAGTGTTGTATCACAGGATGCGAAAGCTGGTATGTTAATTGGATTGGTCATTTTGGACCCTACACACTGCATTGCGGTGTGTCTATTAATATTTTTGATGATTCAGCTTGTGCTATGCTGTTTTCAAACTTTGAGAGCATCTTTATCATATGCATTACTCAGTTGAACTGAGGTGCCTAAGTGCCCCAAATCATAATAAAACTGAATCTCCTAAAATGCTAATCTTTTATTGACATTTCTTGCGCCTAACACGTCTTCATTCTTTCTTTTCCTTGATCCCTATCACGTTGAGTATTAGTTTGTGTTAAAAGCATCTTTATTATTCCAATAACTCTTTTTTTTTAATAAGTATATTCATTATTCTAACCACTGAAGACTAGTTTATTGGACATACGAACTCTTACATTTTATTATTCTTCTTACCTACTCGATTATCATTGGTCAATGAAAAACCAAATGGTTGGGACAGAATTTTGTTAAGTGGAGTTTCCTTTACATGATAATTGAAACATCGCGTTATGTCTATATGAAAAACCAGTGGACTTGAAAAACGATGTAACCCACAAGAAACAAAATGGAAAATCCCGAATATCACACTTTTGTCAACTTCTATCCAAAATCGGCATCTCTTTCTTGAAAAATTCCCTCATCATTTAGTCTTGACTTGTTGAAATGCTTCAATTCCCGTTGTTGCTTCCACGAATAATTGTAGTCATATTTTAATTTTGATATTTAGGACCTAAAGGGCAAAATTGTTTTCTAAATTTGAACCATTCTAGCTGTCTTGGCAAAACAGGTAAATTTTTACATGATGCAAATTATGCAGTAGTGTTGAGAGATTCTGTTTTGGGGGTTTTTTGGATATAATTTTGGCATTATATGTCCTGACCAACGCATGATTTCGTGATATAATCTCTGGAATTTGAACACAGTTGGCTGTAAGGATATGGATACTTTCAAATCTCCATTACCTCTCTTCACAATTACTCATAGCCAAATTTGCTGTTTGGTATTTATACCTGACTTTTAACCTGTTTACTATATTAGAACTACTAGAAAATGGTGAACTAGAGGACGCCCAACCATTGATTTTAAGCTTGGAAGAGAAGCAATATGATGAAGAAGAAGAAGAAGAAGAAGAAGAAGAATGTGATATTAGTGAAGAAGCTCCGGAGGAGGCTAAAAAACCAGTCACCTCAATTGTATCAGCATACAAGTTGCTTACACCATCTGTAAAGGTATATATCTAACTTAAAGTTTCATTCATGTTCATAGGCTGTACAAATATTATGGTTGTGTTTGGATCTAGGATTTGGGTAAGGATTTGTGGAGGAAAGGAAAAACGTGAGGGAAATTGAAAGGAAACTGTGAGGGAATTTTGCCCTTGGAATTGATATCAATGTTTCAAAGGCTAAATTCCACAGGTATTTCTGATATGGTGTATAATGCTAGTGAACTTTAAAATGATCTCACTTGTGATGATGTTGATCAGGTTCAGCTATTTGTGTATTTTATGCTCAAGTATGCCATGGAGATTGTACTTGCAGAATCAAGTGTCATCACTACGTATTACTTTGTTTGGTCAACCACCAATGTGGCTAGTTTTCTTGCCTGTCTTGGGGTGACAGTTCTTCCTATAAACATTTTCGTTGGTAGCTATATTAGCAACGTGTTTGAGGAAAGGTAGACCTTCGACCTCAGAGAAACTTTCCTCACCATTTTCTGTATTCTCATCAAATAGAAAATTTTCTACAAATGAAGAAAAGAAAGATATTAATGCCGCATCTTTTTTCTATTTCGTACCTCTTTTATCCCCGACTGATGCATATATTGAATGATATTATTGCAGACAAATATTACTGGCATCAGAAATTCTGATCTGTTTAGGGATAATTCTAAGCTTCCACATAATAGCACCTTACTCTGTGCCTCAATACATCTGCTCAGCTCTTATCACATTTGTATCTGCTGAAGTTCTCGAAGGTAATTCATGGTTGTTTTATGTCATTTTAGCAAAAATATAAGCTTGATAGAACCAAGGTTCGAAATTTTGTTTCTTTACAGATTTGCTTCAAAACTGAATTTTTTCTGCAACATTTCGGAGATTTAAGGGAAACACAAGGGAAATGACAAAAAGAATTCGGAAGGGAATGTTTGGAAACAAAAACTAAAACCTTTCTATTTCTCCTCTGTCTCTCCACTTCTCCTTCCTAGTTTATCTGATTCTCTAGTAAATTTTAGATTTTTTTTATTTGACAAAAAGAGGCAAATAGAAATAATCAATTGTTTGATATCCCTTATTAATGTTGAAACAACTTTCTTTTTTCTCTCGATATATTTCAGTGCGCTTCAGTATATTTTGGTGGAAATATTCCACTAATGTTTGGTTTCAATTTCCTAAGAAAGGAATCACAGCTCAAAAAAGTAGAAACAAAAATATTTTTACAACAATCACATTTTTGTTCAAGGCTTATAACTACTACCCATTCATGTTTTTGTGATCTAACTGATTCAGGTGTGAACCTATCACTCCTATCTCGGGTCATGCCATCACGGCTTTCTCGTGGGACGTACAATGGTGGGCTGCTTTCAACAGAAGCCGGGACCCTGGCTCGAGTAATTGCAGATGGGACGATAACATTGGCTGGGTATTGGGGTATGAGTAGGCTCTTAAATGTCACCCTTTTGCCGTCTCTCATAATCTGTATCTCTTCCATCGTAGCCACCTGTCTTAGCTACAATTCTCTCTATTGATTAGCATATCAACGGTGTACATGGAGCAAACGAGCTTCTTCATAAATCTGTTAGGATGTTTTGGGAAGATGGTTAAAAGTTGACTTTTTAACTTTTTTACTTTTTTTTTGATTTTTTTTTTTTGTGAGAGAAGAAGTGAGTTAAAAACTGGGAAGCAGCTTTTAACCCACTTCCCAAAATAGGTCGTTATATAAGCTAAAGTTAAATGCAGTGAAATGCTTGTATTGTGTCCTTGTACATTTCTTTGTGGAGTTTGACAATGTGAATTTTATATGCCATTTGGCACTAATGTGTTTCGCGAGGCACTCTTTTTGGTATAGAGATTAGGCTTGTTTAGTGCAGTTTGGTATAGAGATTAGGCTTGTTTAGTGTAGTTTTTCTTAAGATGAAAGTTGATAATCAAAAAATAAAAGCTAAGAACATCTCTTGTCTAGATTTTAGATAATCAACTTATTTAAATTATTTCTATTTCATATGTGGTAAGCAGGAATTCCACCAAATAAATTGACACAAAACTCTCAAAATTAAAAATAAAAATAAAAAAGTTATAAGTAACTATATAAACTGCACCAAAAATGCAATCATTTCATTTGAGAGTTGTCGAAAATGGCCATTGGAGAATTTCACTGAACGAAATTTCACTTCGTCTCAGAGTCATTAGAAAATTCTCGCTAGAAAATGGACACTGACAATCGGTACTAAAAGGTTGTCAACCAGTCATTGAAGGTGACAGCGACGGCTGGAAGTGGTAAAGTAATGAAACTATATTAAGAATAATTTTGTTCATAAAAAGTTAGCATTCTTAAACTAACAAATATAATTTGGTTGTATTTAAATTAATACAAAATATTGAGGCCTAGTTGGGGAAATAAGTGCACTTTTTGACTTTTTTTTGTATTATGTGTAGAAAAAGTAGAGAGAAGATGTTAATTGATGTGACTCAAAAAAGATAAAAAGATGAAATAAGTGCACTTTTTTCTTTGTAGCCAAACTTGACCTGACTAGGGAGTTGAATAACAACTCATAAAATAATTTACTTATATTTTCTATACGATATCCATCATAGCAAAAATATATAAATTTCCTTGAAATTATATTGTTCCAAAATTCTTATATAAAATTGTCGAAAAGATTAATATGGTAATAACATTTTTTAAATTTTAAGTCACAGTTTGTAAAGCAATAAATAAAAATAAAAAATTCCCATTTTTTCAATTTTTTTTTTATAACATTATTTATTTTCTTGTTAGAACAAATAAATAAATCTACACTACACAAAATTTATATGATGGTTTGTTTGGTTGAGTTTTCATAATTTATTTGTTAAAATTAAAAAAAATGCTTTTTAACATATTTTTAAAAATTAATTTTGTAAAAAAGTTATAAAAAATTTATTATTTTCATATGATTTTATATTTTTGGAGTGAATAAAATTTTTAAAATATTTATTTTTGTGTTAATTTGTGTAAAACTAGTTTTTAATATTTGAAAAAGTTTTTTAGGATGAACTAATTTTTGAAATTTTTAAAAATTCTGAACTAATTTTGAAAATTTTCAGACATCAAATTTTTTAAAAATAGAAAAATTTTAAATAACAATATATTTATAAATAATTTATTCAATTTTTTACAATATATTAAGAGGACAGGTATTAACACTAGAACCCCTGGCTCTTTGCACCCTTATCCTAAATCCTAAATTTTAATAAGATTTATTTTAACACCCCACTTAATATTAAATTTATCTATATTCATAATATCATCACACCAAAATGTACAACTGTCTAAATTTACTCCCACCCAAATTTACCTTCTCTCCCGACAATCCCTTGAAGTTAGTAACGATGATTAGTAGACGACGTTGTAACCTCTCAATCAATGAAAATCTTTTCTCAAGTTTTGTTTGGTTGAACAATGCCGAAATTAAATGTTTTGTTCGTAACACATCTACCATTAAATACATTACTGTTGGCTACATATTTTGTGCTAGCTAGTGACAATTCGACGCGTGGCAAAGTAAGGGTAATATGGGGAGACCAGTCAGGTCTTCGATCCTGATCATACACGTGGCAGTTAATATTGGTTGTTATAAGATCTGAGTAGCAGCGGATCAACAAAGAGATGTACGGTGACGTGGCTTCAACGGTTGCTCACATTCAAATTCGAATATAGGAGGGAAGCCTAACTGCAAGTGAAGGCGTAATGGAACTACTTATAAGGTAGCATGATCAGCGATCACGGAGGAGTAGTTCGACGGTTTGAAATACAGTTCGATGGTTATCTTCGGAGAGTATAAATAGCAGGAAGGACTTCAGAGAAGGGGACAGAAAGAAATCAAAAGAAAACCAGTCTTACTTTACATATTCCAGTTTTATTTCCTATTCTTTACATTTCTGTACTTTAAGTTCCTGCGCTGCACTTCATTTGTAAGAGTAGTTTTCGAGTATATTGCCGCTGCAAATCTCTACGGAGCTAAGATCATTGTAAGTTTTTTATACTAATGAAATGCTTCAGTTTATTTAACTGTTCTTATGCTCAAGTTCTTTGAAGTCAAGCTACCAGTAAGCCACCAGTAAAAGTCCTCTTTATTGAGGCTAAAAGAACCATAACACAATCGTTTGAATAATTGTTTGGCAATTACAATTCTATAAGGACTGATTGATCCTTGATGGCACGCTTATAATTACAAAAATAACCTTCGAAAGCCAAAAAGCCAACATATATTTTTTGCGCCCAGTGGGACACTTTAAAAAATGGCTAGACGTAGGAGACAAGGAGAAAATGAACGATTGGAAGAAGGCGTGGAAGGAGAGGTGGAGATATCCAATCCAGAGGATAATGTGATAACACATCCTGTGGAGACTCCTATCTTATCAGAACCCATGGTCGAACAGACCAATACTTCAGAGCAAATACCATTTGTTCGTAATAGTGGACGAGACCAAGGAATTGGACCATCCAGTGTCCCATCTACTCAGCCAGTCAATCTGTGGAGCGGCTTAGTAGATGCTATGGGACAGCAATTAATAAACACAATAGAAAGTTGGGCAGCATCCTTTTTGGATCGAATGAATAACCACCAACCAACAAATGTAAGACACATGGAAGAAGTAAATGTCCCTCAGCAAAGATTGACTAGAGATAAACAGTCTATGCAAGCTAATGGACATTCTAATGGTCAAATCAGTAATCAAATTCATGAAAGATTACCACCTCAGTCTTGGTACGAACCCATTTCGAGGCCTGTAGCAGGCCAGAATGCCACAATGTTCAACAGTGAAGCCATGCAAATTGGTGGATCTGGCCCAGTACAAGAAAATGGCATAAGAATGGTTCCAAATCCCACATTCGAAGCCATACCTGGTACTAGGGGGTACAATAATCCCTTATTCGAATTTATACACGGGGGGTTGAAAGGCTTCCCTACAAATGGAAGGGATACAATACCTGTTCCAGCACCTTTCGTGGGTCCTTTCGTAGGACAGGCTCAAAGAGGTTACCTACACCCCCAACAGCAACCTGTACCACAGGGACAGCCAGTCCCAAATGTACCACCTTATGGACCAAGAGGACCACAAGCACAAGTTTGTCCACCAAATCCTGTGTTTGTTCCCCCAGTAGTGGTTCAGCAGGCACAAAATATGGTCCCTAGGGACCAAATTACTGAGATAGTTAGGGAGTTGTGTGGACCAATGGCTCGGGGGGTCCAAACTCCTGGGTCGATAGGGTACATAAATATCCAAGAGGTTTCAGGATACCAGATTTTGTCCTCTTTCATGGGGACGGAAACCAATCAACAGTAGAGCATATTGCTAGGTTTGCCGCTCAATGTGGTGAATTTACCAATCATGACTATATGAAATTGAGACTATTCCCGAATTCTCTAACTGGGGGAGCGTTTGTGTGGTACATTAACCTTCCACCTGGCTCCATCCAGACTTAGCAGCAAATGGAAGAGGCATTTCATGCCCAATTCTTCCAATCAGAGCCAGAAGTTTCCATGGCAGACTTGGCAAGATTGAGTCAAAGGACTGAAGAGAAGGCTACTCAGTTTATTTCCAGATTTAAGAGGGCTCGAAATAAATGTAGAGTAATCTTGCCAGAAACAGAATTCGTAAGATTGGCCCAAAATGGCTTAGAGTTCAGGCTTCGAAAGAAGTTTGATTCAACAGAGTTTAGAGATTTAGTGGAACTGACTTATAAAGTATCTAGATATGAAGCATTACTAGAAGAGGAACAGGATCGAAATAATGCATCATATAGGACATACTACAAAGATCCTAATTATGAGATTGATGTAGCAGAGATTGTGGGAAAAGTGCCTATGATCTGTGAAGCATTAATTCATAAAGATACGACAATTGACCAGCATTCCTTAAGTTACCAAAAGGGGTTAAAATTCCATCTCTTGATGAACTTAAAGGAAAAGTATATTGTAAATGGCATAATTCTTGGTCTCACTCGACTAAAAACTGTGTTGTTTTTCGAGACAGGATCCAAGAACAAATTCGGAAAGGGAGTTTGAAGTTCCCAGCCAAAGCTGAAAAAGCCATGGGGATCGATAGCAATCCATTTCCAGAAATTGGAGAGGTGGCAGCCAATGTCATTATGTCAGACTTTCAGAACCTGTCTTTGAAAGAATTGGAAGAAGTCAATGTACAGATGCATGTGGCCAACCAGACAGCAACCAAAAAAGACATTAGAAATCCACCAGCTATTGGACGAGATTTCTCACATCAGAGGGAAGACTCTGATGAAGAAGCACTGGATGATGACTCCTTAGAGGCAGCCGTAATGCAAAGGATGTGTCCCAGGTGCAAACTGAGTTATAAGTGGTTGAAAAGCCTTCCAGTTGATGGGAAGCAATATTACAAGGATGTGCAGAGGCGTCCCAAACCAACCAATGCTTATAATAAAAGGCCATATCCGGCTAATGTTAGGCGGCAGCCATTAGTGGTTGAGCCTGCAGTTGATAGAATGCATGCTAAACGCAAAAGGCCCTTATATGAGGCCAGGTCACCTAACTATTACAGGATGGAGAGTAGTCATTCTGAAAGAAGATTGGAGAAGAGTTCAGGTTTTAGGATCAAAGCCAAGAATTGGCCCCCTGGGCCAGCTTCACGAAGGACAGAAAATGATCACCATCATCGAGAGCCTGAATCAGGCTCAAAGCTTGGAGACAGGGCCAAACAATTGTCTTCACAGCCAGCCTCGAAGGTGACCTCGAAAGAAGAAAAAGGCAGTTCAACGTCTGGGTCAGTAAGTTCGTGGGTGCCTGGAGTCCCAGATTGGTTTGT